ATGAAATGCCTCTGATTCTGTAATATTTTGTATCCTGAGACTTTACTAAATTCATTGATCCAGTTCCAGGAGTTTCTGGTTGAACTCCTTGGGTTTTTCTGATACAATATCATATCATAGCAGACAGTGAAGTTTGTCTCTTTGCCCTATTTGGATACCTTTATTCATTTTCCTGTCTGATTGCTGTAGCCAAGACTCCCACGACTATGTTGAACAGAAGTGGAGATAGTGGCACCCTTGTGGTTCCAGTTCTAAGTGGGAATGATTTCAATACTTTTCCCATTCAGTATGATGCTGGCTATGGTCTGTCATATATGGCTTGTATCATTTTTAGGTATGTCCCTTCTATGCCTATTTTCTTAAGTGTTCGTATCATGAAAGGGTGTTGAATTTTGTCAAAAGCTTTTCTGCATCTATTGAAGAATCATGTGGTCTTTGTTTTGCTTCTGTTTATTGTGAATTGCATTATAGATTTACGTATGTTGAAACCATCCCTGCATCCCTGGGATGAAGCCCACTTGTCTGGTGGATTATTTTTGATAAGTGTCTGGATTCGGTTAGCTAGATTTTTGAAAATTTTGCATCTATATTCATTAGGATATGGTCTGTAGTTTTCTTTTTTTGTGTCATCCTTCTGGTTTGGTATCAGAGTAATATTCGCTTCATAAAAGGTGTCGGGGGGGTTTCCGTTTTCTCGATGTTGTGGAAAGTTTCTGCAGATAGGTACTAGTTCTCTTTGTAAGTATGGTAAAATTCAGGTGTGAAGCCATCGGACCGGCTTTTCTTTAAAGGGAGATTTTTAATTGCTGTTTCTATTTCAGCTGTTGATATTGTCTGTTCAGGGAATCTGTTTCTTCCTGTTGAGCCTAGGGGCTGTGTGTTTCTAAAATTTGTCCATTTCCTCCACATTTTCCCAATTTGTGTGCATAAAGATTTTTGTAGTATTCATAATTGTATCTTGTATCTCTTTGGGATCAGTTTGTGATATCTCCTTTTTTATTCCTGATGGAGCCTTATTAAGAGATTCTCTTTTCTGCTTTTCGTTAGCTAGCCAATGGTGTGTCAATTTTTTTTATTTTTCAAAGCACCAACTTTGTTTTATTAATCTCCTGAATAGCTTTCCTGTTTTCAATTCATTTAGTTCTGATTTGATTTGTTGATTTCACCTTCTTCTGCTGGGTTGGGGTTGGTCTGTCTTCTTTTCCAGCTCTTTGAGTCGTTTCATTAAATTGTCTATTTGTGATCTCTTGTCTTTGGTTATAGACATTTTGGAGATAAACTTTCCTCTCAGAACTGCTTTAGCTGTGCCACAGGAGTTGATACACTTGTCTCTCCATTGCGTTTTCTTCATAGAAGTTTTTTATTTCTGTCTTGATTTCTTCATTTACGAAGTTAACATTATTACTGCTTATTGACAATGCACCTGGTCACCCAAGAGGTCTGATGCAGAGGTACAAGGAGATTAATGTTGTTTTCATGCCTGCCGACACAACATCTATTCTACAGCCCATGAATCAAAGAGTAGCTTCAACTTTCAAGACTTATCATTTAAAAAATACATTTTTAAAGGTTATAGCTGCCACAGACAGTGATTCCTCTGATAGATCTGGGCAATGTAAGTTAAAAACCTTCTGGAAAGAATTCACCATTCTGGCTGGCATTAAGAACGTTTATGATTCATGGGAGGAAGTCAAAATATCCACATGAACAGGAGTTTAGAAGAAATTGACTCCAATCCTAATGGATGACTTTGAAGGGTTCAAGATTTCAGTGGAGGAAGTCACTGCAGATGTGGTGGAAATAGCAAGAGAACTAGAATTAGAAGTGGGGCCTGAACTTGTGAGTAAATTCCTGCAATCTCATGATAAAACTTGAATGGATAAGGAGTTGCTTCTTATGGATGAGCAATGAAAACGGTTCCTAGAGATGGAATCTACTCCTAGTGAAAATGTTATGAACATAGTTGAAAGGAGAACAAAGGGTTTAGAATATCACATAAACTTAGTTGATAAAGCAGCAGCAAACTTTGAGAGGATTGACTCCAATTTTGAAAGAAGTTCTACTGTGGGTAAAATGTCATCAAACCACATTGCATGTGACAGAGAAGTCTTTCACAAAAGGAGTATTTCATGTATGGAAGTGCCAAACTTCATTGTTATCTTTTTTTTTTTTTTTCTTCTTTTTGGGACAGAGTCTTGCTCTTTTGCCTGGGCTAGAGTGCTGTGGCATCAGCCTAGCTCACAGCAACCTCAAACTCCTGTGCTTAAGCAATCCTTCTGCCTCAGCCTCCCAAGTAGCTGGGACTATAGGCATGCACTACCATGCCCGGCTAATTTTTTCCATATATTTTTAATTGTCCAATCGATTTCTTTCTATTTTTAGTAGAGACAGAGTATTGCTGTTGTTCAGGCTGGTCTCAAACTCATGACCTCAAGTGATCCTCCTGCCTCGGCCTCTCAGAGTGCTAGAATTACAAGGACGAGTCACCACGCCCAGCCCATTGTTTTCTTATTTTAAGGAATTACCACAGCCACTCCAACCTTTAGCAACCACCACCATGATCAGTCAGCAGCCACCAACATGGAGGCAAGACCCTGCACATGGTAAAAAGGAATTTGAGGATGAAAAATGATATTGCACACTTAATAGACTACAGTATATTGTAAACATAGCTTTTACATGCACTGAGAAAGCAAAAAATTTGCATGACTCACTTTATTGTGATACTCTGTTTACAGCAAGAACAAAGCCCGCAACATCTTGGAGGCATGCCTGTGATGGCATGAGAAGAAACATTCAAAGGAAAAGAACAGAAAACCCAGAAACAGCTCCTGTTATATACAGGACTTGAGGATTTTTTTTATAAAGTTCAATTTTTAATCAATGGCAAACGTTTGAATTATTCACTAAATGGTAATGGGATAATTGCTTAATAACTTAGAAGCAAAGTATTTCCTGTCTCACACCCTATGCTGACATAAATTTCAGATAGATGAAAGAATTAACATGTCTTTCAAAAATCACAAAATAATCACAAGTAAATATAGTGAATATTTATCAGAATCAAAAGCCTTTTTTTTCAGCATATGTATGAAGGAAGAAAACATAAATGCAAAGAATGAATTGACTACTCCAAAATTTAAAACTCTGGCTCAAAGAAAAAACAAGGAAACAAATATTTGCAATACAGGATTCAAGTAAGTATTTATCATGCTTGTCTCATTTAGCGTCAGAAGTATCTTATAAAATAAATATTATTTCTATCTCCATTGTATAGAAGAATAAACTGAGGTTTAGAAAAATTAAAGTCACACAGCTACAACTTGGTGGCACCAAGGTTCAAAACCAGGTCTGCTTGATTCCAGTATACATCCACTAACCACTTTCCCATACTACGTCTTATGTATGACAAGTTAATAATAATATCCTTAATATGTCAACAGCTCTTAAAACTCAATGATAAAAATAAAAGGACCCCCAATAAAAATGGGGAAAATAACAAAAACAGGCAATTCACAAAACAAAAAATACAATCAGTCAGTATAAACCTATGGAGAAATATTCACCATCACCAGAATTCAGAGGAAGGCAAATTAAAATGAGACACTGCTTTCCATTAGCAAAGATTTTATCTACCAGTTTTTTTAATATCCTGAATTTGGTGAGTATATCCATTAAGGATCTTTGGTTGCGAGCAATATCCCCCAAACTTTGGATTGCTCTCTTCAGAGTACTGCCTCCTCTGTTCAGGACTCTCTCTAATGGACAGGTGGGCAGGTTATGGGTGGGGGAAGAGTCCAGTGGGTCTAACCTGGATCAAGTGTGCTCACCTGTGATAGGAGAAGTACCTGGTGATTGGCAGCCAACCAGAATTACAGGAGTTGAGGAGCAATGGCTCTACCAAAGGCAAAGATGCTAGGTGGACAAAAACAACAGACGTCTATTGCAGGGCAGGCGGAAACTATTCCACACTCATTTACTTCCTTTCTGAAATCTAATTTGACCAGATATAGCCAAAGCCTGGAAAAATGATCACACTCTTTGACCTAGCATTTCTACGTTGACAAATTTACTCTAAGAAACCAGTCAGAGAGGCGAACCCAAAAATGTGCAAACATTATCACAACTTTATTCGTGAAAGTGAAATATAGGAAATCATATTTCATAATAGTGAACTGACCATATGTGTTTTAACATATCGATCTTATAAAACACCATGTAGCCATCAGAAAACATGATGTTTAGAGAACAGTTCACAGCCCAAGAAAAATGTCTACAAAATAATCTTAATTGGAAAAGCATTTTGTCCATGAATGTGTGTAATTTGTAATAAGGGGCAAAATAGCTCATACATTTTTTCCTCCAAAATAAAGCTGCCAAGGAGGTGCAGAATTCCAAAAGTAGCTTGAGATCATAGAAGACAGAGGCCCTCCTATCCTGAGAGCTTAGAAGACAGCGTGAGAGATTCAAGTTAAACCCAAGAAAGAACTACCTGACTGTGAAAGCTGCCCTGGACTGGAATGAGTGAGTAAGACAAGCCCTGGAATGTCACCTTCCTTTCTCAGGCTCAGATGAAGTACTGACCTGCTTTCAAGGTCCAGGAACCGAATGGGGGTGGGGGAGGCATGCCAGCTCAGTCAGGAATTAGTTATGTGTTCCTGGGCCAGTCCCCTCCAATCTCAGGCTCACAGTTTCCTCATCTTTCGAATGGGAGCATGGGAGTGGTGGTTCATGCTTCTAATCCTAGAACTCTGGGAGGCTGAGGCAAGAGGATTGCTTGAGCCCAGGAGTTCGAGATCAGCAAGAGTGAAACCCCGTCTCTGCTAAAAATAGAAAAATCAGCTGGATGTTGTGGTGTGCACCTGTAGTCCCAGTTACCCAGGAGGCTCAGGCAGGAGGATCGCTTGAGCCCAGGAGTTTGAGGTTGCTGTGAGCTATAATGACGCCAATGCACTCTACCCAGGGCGACAGAGTGAGACTCTGTCTCAAAAACAAACAAACAAACATACGGAAGGCTGAGAGGATGGACGCAATCTCCTCCAGTGCTGACAGAGTACTAGGATTCGATGGAGTTTCTGTTTGGGACCTGAGGATGCTGAGCCATCTCTCTTCCATCAAAAGCAGGAGCCAACATCTCAGATGTGAAATCTAAGGTGGGGGCCCCTGGATGAGATAACATTGTTACTCAAGATCCCTTGGGGCCAGAGAAGGGGTCCCAGTGGCTACTTACACCTGCTGTGACCAGCAAACTCAGCCAAACCAAAAGCCACACTCCACCCACCCCCGACAGCCAGGCCAGCTCCAGGCAGAGAGCAGTTCTACCAGATGCCACTGCAGGTGACCTCAGCAAAGGCGGGGTGAGAAGGACGAAGTGGGGAGGACTGCTTCCTCCCCTAAGTTGCTCGGGCCTCCCTGGGGCTGCAGGTGTTAATCTGGGGGGTCCCTGGGCCCTGATCTTCTTGGGTTCCAGCAGCAGAAACATGAGGTTTGGGAGCCTCTTCCTCCTGGTGGTGCTCCTGGCTGTGGGGACCCAGCTGCCTGCTGCCTCTGGCCGGAAGAAGGGAGGTGAGTGCGGGTACCTCCTCTGCTCTAGGGACCAGGTGGCTTCTACCTTCCTGGGGAGAGTAAGTGTTGGGGGTAAGCCAGATAACTCAGTGTGTGTGTGTGTGTGTGTGTGTGTGTGTGTGTGTGTGTGTGTGTGTGTGCATGTGTGTGTGTAAGCTTCTTAGTGCTTCCAGGAGCCTGTGTTTTCATTTGTGCATCTTTGTGGCTGTCCACCCATCTGTGTCTCTATCGGTAAAGGTCCTTCTGACACTTTCTCAGTGCTTGTCTTAGCCTGTCCATGTGTCTGTGTGTGGGGACACACGTGTGCCTCTCTCTGTGTAGATGTGTGTGTTTGTGCCTGCTAGTCTGTGCCAGACTGTCTGCACATGTACACGTAGGAATGGCTGCATCCGTGTGTGTCTGAGCTTGTGTGCCTGTACATGTGTGTACATGGCAGGGGGCAGTGGGCCCATGGCCCCATCTGGGGAAAGGACTTGGGAGTTGAGCAGAGGGTGGAGCTTCTGGGATCTGGGATTTGTTGGGAGAAATCTCTGTCCCTAGCTCTCTTATCCCCCCACCTCCCGCCCCGATTCCTACCCCGACAGGGCTCTGACGCCTGGCCTCTGCCAGGTGAGGGAGGGTGGCTTAGTGGTTAGACAGGTGCCTCCTGATCTGGGTGAGGCCTCCACCTCCCTCCCCTCCTGAGGCTGGAACACTCTGACCTACATTCACCCACATTGCCCTGGCCCTGCCTTGGAGGAAGGGCACAGTGATGGGAACAGGCTGAGGAAGGAAGGATATTGGTGGCTTCCAAGGCCAGACCCTTTGTTGGCTGTGATTCACGCACTGTCGCCACACAACCCCTCAGTGATGCTGTGAGATTGGGACTGTTTTACCACCATTTTGCAGATGAGGAAAACCAAGGCATAGTGGGAAACCACTTGCCTAGGGCCAAAGACCGACTCTGAGTGAGTGTAAAGGCAGCCTGCGAATGCAGGTCTTGGAATCAGAAAGGTTCACCTGCCAACTTACTCCTTGCAGAATGGGGCCCTTGCCTCCCTCTGAGCAGTGAATGGTGTCTTAGTGCATGCTGGGCCCTTTGGGGAACCGCTGGGGGACCCTAATACTCAGCTTGACTGCTCAGAGGTGACAGCTGGTGCTGCAAAACCCGAGCCTATTCAGGGCCTCTCTGTGTGGCCAGGTGTGACACACCTGCCTCTCCCCTAGTTCACTGCACCCATGCTTCCCCAATTTCTCCCCCCGTGAGCCTGGCTTTCGGGACAATTCCAGACAATGGAGGAAGGTGACGGGACTGAGGGAAAGGAAGTCCCAGTTTGTGGTCTGAGGAAGCCCAACCACCTCTGTTTATAAGACACACCCTCTGCCCCTCACTCTGATGTCTGGGTGTCTCGCATACAAAGAGCCTGGCACAGGCCCTGATGAACAATGAGTGCCTGATTGACTGTTTCCCAGTTATGTAGCATTGGGGGCATGTCTGTGTCTGTGTAGCTCTGTGCAGATGACTCTGTATGTATACCTGTGTATATGTGTCTGTCTCTCTGCTCATACACATGCCACGTGCACTTATATACATGACTGAGTGTCTGAGGGGATCCGTGTGTGTGTGTGTCTAGGTGTGTAGACATGTATATATGAGAGTATGCTTATATATTTGACGAAGAGTTTATGTCCCAGTTCGTATGTACATATATGACTGCCTGCGTTTATATATGCGTGTGTTTGTAAATATACTGCATATAGCTATAAAACTATCTGATGTGTGCCCGATGTGTGCGTCTTAGGTTGAACTATGTGAAATTGCTATTTTGGGAGATCAAAAAAGTTGACTATCTGCAGTTTTAAGCCTGTAGCGAATTGTGTGCATAGATCTGAGCGTGCTTGCATATTGACTGTGTATGTGTGTCTCTGCGTGCGTGTACAAGCATGCACATAACTGTGTCTAGGTATGATTCTTTCCCCTCTGAGCGTACACATCTGTGGCACCTGCACCTGTGTGTGTGTGACCGTGTCTCTGTGCTCGCGTGTGCGAGCGGGAAACTGGATTTGAAGGGAGGGGAAGGAAAGGCAGACGAACAGAGTGAGTGTGACTGCCCGACCCCCTCACGCCGCCTCCACACACTCCAGGCTGTTATTCCGACCCCCACACGGCAGCCACCACGTCCTCCCCACCTGAAATGCCAACCCTCAGCCCCTCTCCCGCCCGGTGGTTCCCCAGGGCTCAGCTCTGGGCCCCACCCTGATGCAACTTTGAGGGCAGGTGGCTCCCTTGGGCCCCCCTTCGAGGCCCGAGCACCTCTGGCTTGTTTGTTCAGGGCTACGCCCCATCCTCAGGCCGTTTCCCAGGCCCGAACCCCCATGCCACCCCCATCCCACCCCCATCCCACCTCCCATGCCACCCCCCATGCCACCCCCCAAGCCGCCCCCCAGCCCCTCCGGAGACGCTGTCAGAGCGGGGCTCTCACAGGCCATGCCGCCCCTGTCCGGCAGGGGGCAGCAGCTCAACTAAAGCCAGCCCAAGGGAGCGCCGGGTGCTGGCTTGGGGCACCAGGGTGCGAGCAAGGCGGCCCCGGCAGGGGCTGAGGGGCACGGGTGGACCGAGTGAAAGCCACAGCACTGGGTCCAGCGGCCGGGAGCCCTCCTGAACCTTCTCTCCGGTGCCGGGCGGAAGCGAAGGCCCGGGCCTGCTCCAGCCCTGCGGCTCCGGCCGGCGGCGGCGGGGGCAGGGGAGGGGGAGCCGGCCGCGGTGCCCCCTTCGGGCCGTGCTTCTTGCCCTCATGGAAGAAGTTACTGGTCTCCCGCCTTCTGTGCGAGACCTGGAAATGGCCCCAAATCCCAACCGGGAGGGCAGTTAGGTGAGCTCTGGGACAGAACGTGATGCCGACCCCGAAACCGAGCCACTTGCGCAACGACGTGCACAGCACGGGACGTGGCCGGACGGGCTGCAGCGGTGCACGGGGCGGGCGACGGCCGGCACGCGAGCAGCGCGGGGTCTCACCTCCAACCCCCCTGTCACCCAGCTGAGCCCTAGTGCTGTACGCGTGTGCGGGGACACAGGCTGACAGCGAGCAAAGCGGGCGGGTGTCTGTCCCCACAGCCTCCGGCCAAGCGAGGGGCGCAGGCGAACGGAGGCGGAGTCCCGAACCCGAAGGGAAGATGCTCTGGGGGAGTGCGGGGTGGGGCCTGACGGGGCTGGCCGAGTTCAGCTGGGGGCAGAGAAGGAGGATCTTCTGAGGATGTGATGTTTCAGCCGAGACCTAACGAGCTGACCAGGCTGACCAGGCGGACACGGTGTGTGGGCGAGCGCGCCGGGCCATGGGCCATCGGGACAGCCAGAGGGAGAGCCCTGCAGCGAGAAGTGGCTCGGAGCAGATCAGGAGGGAGCGGGGACCAGGAGGCCGGGAGATGGACACGGGCGGCCAAGCAGGGCACGGCCGGATTGGCCACGGTGGAGATTCTGAACTCCACTCTTTCCTATCCTTTGTGCCATCCGAGTCTCAAACTAGCACTTGGAGAAAGGAGCCCAGCTTCCTGTCATTTCACAGCCAGGAAACTGAGGCTTGGAGTAGTTAAGAAAACAAAACAAAACAAAAACTTGCCAAAGTACCCGCAAAAAGTAAGGGATGGAGAATTCAGATCCTGTGAGTCTCAGGTCAGTGGTTGTTACATAACCCTGAGCTGCCTCCAGCTGCAGGATTTGGGGTTCTCTTACAGAGAAAGCAGGGGGCTGCCCGCCAGATGATGGGCCCTGCCTCCTGTCGGTGCCTGACCAGTGCAAGGATGACAGCCAGTGTCCCTCAACCATGAAGTGCTGCTACCAAGCTTGCTTCCGCCACTGCGTCCCCCGGGTCTCGGGTAAGTGCCCGTCCGCCTTGCTGATTGCCCAGGCCCCAGGCCCCAGGGCTGGCTGGCACGGGCACGGCTCACCCAGGCCCCTGTGTTGCAGTGAAACAGGGCAGCTGCCCTGAGGACCGGCTGCAGTGCCTGAGCCCCACGAAGCACCTGTGTCACCAGGACTCGGACTGCTCGGGCAAGAAGCGGTGCTGCCACAGCGCCTGCGGCCGGGATTGCCGAGATCCTGCCACAGGTACAGCTGCTGGGTGCCTGGAGCAGGTGCCGTCCCTGTTTCCTGAGCACCTGGGGCAGGTGCCTTCCCTCTCCGGGGCCCAGCTCTAAGATTTTCTTCCAGTTCTTCAAGCTTAACCTCCCCAGAAGCCAGGACCTCCCATGGCCATAGCTGGGGAAATGGATAAGTATGGGGGGGGGTCTTGTTAGGGAGATGGAGGAACTTGCTGTATCCCCGGGACCCCGGGTTTCAATTTGCCCTTTAAGGAGGATGGGGAGTTCTGCCTTAGTAGGGACCAGGGCTGGGCTGATGGGGCTGGGATGCGGGAAATCAAGCCCCAAATCCAGAGCCCGATTGTGGGAGGGGGTTAACCCTTTCTTCCTCTCTCCTCAGGCTAGTTCTGGTTTAGGATCCATGGCTCTGCATGCAGGTGGGAGCGGCAGAAAGAGTTGCTGATGGGAATCCTGGGGCCTCCCAGACAGCGCCATCCCTGCCAGCAGCAGTTCCAGCCTTCTGATAGACACTGGCCTGCCATCAGTTCCCTGCAACCCCGCCACTGCAGGCCTCTGCAACCCCCCGGTACCCTGCACACTGCCACACTGAGCTGCCCACCCTTCCTAGCACCCATTTTCACCTCTCTCTGCACACGTTGTTTCCTCCACCTAAAATGCCCAATTCTTGCAGGCTCCTCTTTGTGGAGTCCTAACCCCACCCTCAGGCAGCCCAACTACCCAGAACGTATGTTCTAGCAGAGTTTTCCAAACATCAGTCCATTCATATACACTTCTTTCATGATTTTCACCATATCTGCAAACCAGTGTTATGATATGTTGCATGCTGCCTGTACTACTATTTACTCACGTTTTTCTTTAAATGACTCACTTTTGTATATAAATAAACTTATTTAAAAAGAAAACTTGATATCATTACTATCAATGGGATAAATGAGATCACTTGCCAGAAAACAGAATGTAATTATGGGAAACAAATGCAATGAAAACGGCTCAGTTCCATTAAAGTAAATCATGTCAGATTAAATGATACTAAATAATGTTATTAAACTCTAGCTAGATACGGCCACCTGCCAAGACTGAGCCCGAAACCTGCTCTCTGTCTCTGTTTTAATAAATGGAGATTAGCAAGGGTTAAAGGGATGTTACGGTTGCATTTAGGGAGACCTTATCCCTTAGGAGAATCCGAAGAATTGAAAAGAGAAAAACTTTCTCACTCCAAGAGTCAATGTTGTGTGATGTTACATCCAGGTACACACTGAGACCATTTAGATACGCCCCAAAGCTGGGGAGATGTCGCTCAAGCAGTTAAGACGTCATTGTTATGGAGGGTCTCCTGCCACTACTGGGCCTCCATCCACCTTGCTTGCCTCAGTTTCTCCAGGGCCCCATCGGTGGTCAGGGTCTAATGAGTGTTTCTTATGGGAAGAGAGGGTCCATAGGGAATGGCAGCCATCCTACAGGACATTCCTGGACCCAGACAGCCAGATTCCTGACTCTCCCTGTTACCTAGGACATGCTTTGAACAGAGAAAGGAGGTGGGCAAACTCCTCCCTGCTCTATCTGCTGGGCCTCTTGTGTCCTGATGGACTCCAGGGTTAGGAGGTCAACCATGGAGGTAAACTTGAAAATCCTGGGTCTTCTTTTCCAGTTCTCTGGACCTTGCAGGGTGATCTCAGGTGAGTCCTTCACCACTCTGCGTTTCTGCTTCCCCTCTTGGAAGATGGAAAGAATTCTACTTCCTCACCATTGGTCCTCATGGGATTCAAATGCCTGAACTGTTGACTCAAAGGTGGCAAATGCTAGCCGTAGAGATCCAAGGGGGAGGCTGGGAGAGGAGGAAAATTATCTATGCGTCACTGACTGTATGGGACCTTGGATATTTCTCTTCCTCTTTCTGGGCCTCAGTTTCCCCATCCATATATAACCTCAGGTAGTTAACACAGATAGTACAGTGGACTCGATTATTTGCCCACAATTGCCCCTTCCCTTCCCATGTGTACCATGGCTTCCCATGTGGAAGGTGCACGTGGGAAGGTGCACATGCCCTTGTCCCAGTGACTGGGGCTTGGCTATGAGGCTTGTTTTGCTTCATGGGATGTGGGTAGACAAGATGGTGCACCAGTGTCAGTACAAGGCCCCAGTCTTCTTACAGCCTCCACCCTCTGCCATGGGAAGAGTTTGCAGTCTCAGCATGAGAGACACGTGGGACAGGCCTGAGTTCTCCCAGCCAATCTCAAGCTTTTGAGAGAGAAATAGATGTTTGTGGTAGGAAGCCATGGAGATTTGGGGGCTGTCTGTCACAGATTGATCACAGTAAGAGTTGACTAATTCAGGTACTGATTATTAGTCTGCAGTGAATGCCCACTTTATGCCTCCCACTTTAAAATATCATTTCTTTCATCCATCCTGTAGAAATAGTGGCTTTGAGATAAGTGACTTGCCCAAGACCCCCAGATGAGAGGGGATAGATCTGGGATTCAACCATACCATATTCCTCCTTAGATATTAATAAAAGCAGCAACAGCTATCAATTACTGAGCTTATCCTGTGCCAGATGTTGTTTTAATTACTTACATATATAATCTCATAAAATCCTCACAGCCTTACTAGTAAGCTTCATTCATTTTCTCCATTTTACATATGGGAAAACTGAGGCACAAAGAGGTTAATTTGGCCAAGGTTGTACAGTTTATACATAGCAGAGCTGGGATTCAACCCCACACAGTCTAATCCTAAACTACATCCTTACTAACTACACTAATCAATTACATTTAGTCTTTGAAGATTCCTTCCAGCTCTAAAGGCTGTTTCCACATCTGAAAAACAGGGATTACAAAACCCCCAAATGGTTAAGTGACCAGGCTCAATTCTAGACAACTGGCATCCAAGCCTGTTGGTGATGGCTTGTTGCCCTGGGTTTCTTTCCTTCTGCATCAGGAGGAAAATTAAGGGTCCCCAGTAGGAAGCTCCCAGGTAAGCCAGTTATGGGCACATATGGTCATAAAGTGGTATAATGGACATTGGAAACTAAGAAAAGAGGAGGGTGGGAGGGGCTGAGGGATCAAAAATTATCTATGGGCACAATGTACACTGTCCTGGTGGCATTTACACTAAAACCCCTGACTTCACCATTATACAATTTATCCATATAACAAAAAGCACTTGCACCCCCTAAATCTATTGAAATAATAATAAAAATAAAAAGACAAGGTCTCTATCACCCACATTGAAGTGCAGTGGTATAATTGTAGCTCAATGAAGCGTGGAACTCCTGAGCTTTGATCCTCCTGCCTCTTACACCCAAGTACCTGGGACTACA